GATGGACTGGTTGGATCTTCTCGCAGTCCAAGGCACTCTCAGAACTTTCCTCCAACACCACAGCTCAAAAGCATCGATCTTCCTTCGCTCAGCCTTCCCGAAGGTCCAGCTCTCACATCCGTAGGTGACTATAGTGAAGACCATGGCTTTGACTAGGCAATGGATTTTGGTTGCCAGTCTGATGTCTCTACTCTTTACTATTTTATCGAGACTGGACATTGCTCTCCTCCCAAGAAGGAAGCGTCTTCTGATTTCCTGGCCACAGTCTGCATCTGCACTCATCTTTGCATCTATCTGCATACATGATAGAACTCAGCAAAACAATACAAGCTCTGGGGAGGTGTCAAGATGGAGCTGTCCAGACTGAAACAGATGAGTCTACACCTGCAACTTTCATTCTTATCATTCACCATCAGTGGAAAAATGGACCATTAAGTTTTTATAATGCAGAGCCTCTGGCTCAATCATGCAGGGTGCAAAGATCAATGCACAAATACTCCAGCAATGCTGATAGTGGTTCACTTGGTTTTGCACCACAGTGAATTGGAGTGTGCAATCTGGTGCGCTGCAGGTTGCCTCACGTGGACCAGGCATCTCCACAGGGCACACCTGAAGGGCGTCCAGCCCAGAAATAACAAACAAGCAAGTGGGACAAAGGCGGGAGAGGTGTGAGCGAGTGGCAGCATTACGGGCCCCACACTAAGCAGGTAGGCCTGGGCACCTTGCCATCTGGAGTGTGGCCCAGGTCCAACGCCAAGGGCAGGTGTGCTTGGAGAGCCAGTGAAGGGGGGCAGAAGAGGGCACATGCCATTTGGAGAAAGGGGGAAAACTGCAGGCGACAGGGACTCTGCGGGTTGGTCCTCTAAACGTGTAAAACCTGAACAGAGGAGCGGTGGGTTGGGAGCGGAGAATCCCCTGCACCTCTCCGAAGGTGCTGCAGCCGCTGCCATGAGCCCTCTTAGGGAAATTAAAAAGGGGGATTTAAGCCATTAAGGCTGAAAGGGGAGCTGACGAGATCATGTCGCCCCCAATTAGCTGGGGAAGAGGGCTTAGGGAGGCCCAGGCGGAGAGGCTAATGAGGGAGGGCAAGGCGGAGGGAGGGGGGAGGAGGGTGCCTCAAAATAGATGCCAACAAGCAACTTGGAGAGAGATGTACAAACAGAAGGACTGGTGGTGGTGGTGGTGATGATGCCTGATGTTCCTCTAAGTCTCCTGTTGCAAATTTGCCTTGCATTGTTTGTGATCAGTGCCAAAATGATGACCTTCTGCTTCTGGTGTTTTGGTAGGTCTCCCACCACCACCTCCATCTCCTTTTTTGTTCCATATTTCTGTATGCAGTCCTCCCACCTGGCCATATGTTCTCCACAAGTCCCACCCTCTTAGCCTCAGAAAGATGTGGATATGTTCACATTGTTGACTACGGTTGTGCTGGAGGACTTAAAGATTACTAGACAGAACACTTCTCCAGGCATTTGTAGGTCTTCCACTAAATGTATATTGTGGAACAACGTCCATCAGGCATTGGCCTTTGAGTCAAAGTGGGGGATCTGCAAATGCCTATAGAGATTACTCCTATAGATGTATGTAGGCGCTCCAGCAGGATTCTATGGTCAATGCCCACCAAATGTCTAATGTCAATACCCATCAGAATGTATATGTGGAACACCTTCTACCAGAAGTTGACCCTTCTGAAGCAAACACTACCAGAATGTATATGTGGAACACCTTCTACCAGAAGTTGACCCTACCTGAAGCAAACACTTCTCCAGGTATTTGTAGGTCTTCCACTAAATTTATATTGTGGAACAATGTCCATCAGACATTGGCTTTTGAGTCAAACTGGGGGATCTGCAAATGCCTATAGAGATCACTCCTCTAGACGTGTGTAGGTGCACCAGCAGGATTCTATGGTCAATGCCCACCAAAGGTCTAATGTAGAACAACTTCTGCCAGACGTTGGCCATAGGTTGACCACTGGATGACCTAGAGATTCTTAAAGAGTATAATTCTCTAGACATGTGATTCCAGTGTGATTCTATGGTCAATACCCATCAGAATGTATATGTGGAACACCTTCTATCCAGAAGTTGACCCTTGAGTCACAAGGGAGGATCTAGAGATCCCTGAAGCAAACACTTCTCCAGGCATTTGTAGGTCTTCCACTAAATTTATATTGTGGAACAATGTCAAACTGGAGGATCTGCCAATGCCTATAGAGATCACTCCTCTAGACGTGTGTAGGTGCTCCAGCAGGATTCTGCAGTCAATGCCCACCAAAATGTCTAATGTAGAACTTCTGTCAGACGTTAGCCATAGGTTGACCACTGGATGACCTAGAGATTCTTAAAGAGTATAATTCTCTAGACATGTGATTCCAGTGTGATTCTATGGTCAATACCCATCAGAATGTATATGTGGAACACCTTCTACCAGAAGTTGACCCTTGAGTCACAAGGGAGGATCTAGAGATCCCTGAAGCATTTGTAGGTCTTCCATTAAATTTATATTGTGGAACAATGTCAAACTGGGGGATCTGCAAATACCTATAGAGATCATTCCTTTAGACGTGTGTAGGTGCTCCAGCAGGATTCTATGGTCAATGCCCACCAAAATGTTTAATGTAGAACAACTTCTGCCAGACGTTGGCCATAGGTTGACCACAGGATGACCTAGAGATCCTTAAACAGTATAAGTCTCTAGACATGTGATTCCAGTGTGATTCTATGGTCAATATCCATCAGAATGTATATGTGGACCAACTTCTACCAGAAGTTGACTCTTGAGTCATAAGGGAGGATCTAGAGATTCCTGAAGCAAACACTTCCCCAGGCATTTGTAGGTCTTCCACTAAATTTATATTGTGGAACAACGTCCATCAAATTTTGGACATCGAGTCAAACTGGAGGATCTGCCAATGCCTATAGAGATCACTCCTCTAGACGTGTGTAGGTGCTCCAGCAGGATTCTGCAGTCAATGCCCACCAAAATGTCTAATGTAGAACTTCTGTCAGACGTTAGCCATAGGTTGACCACTGGATGACCTAGAGATTCTTAAGGAGTGTAAGTCTCTAGACATGTGATTCCAGTGTGATTCTATGGTCAATATCCATAGGAATGTATATGTGGAACACCTTCTCACAGAAGTTAACCCTTGAGTCACAAGGGAGGACCTAGAGATCCCTGAACACTTCTCCAGGCATTTGTAGGTCCTCCCATACAATTCTATCGTCCAACCTCTACCAGAATTTACAACATGGAGCAACATTTGCTAGAAGTTGACCATGAAGTCATAGTAGAGAACCTACAGACTTGTAAATAGGTGTTATCTGGGTTAAAAATAGTTTTCACACTTTCCCCAACTTTTCAAGGGTCTTATGCCCTTAAACCTACAAAAGTGGAGAACCTATTATACCTTCCAAGACAAGCAGGTTCCCATTTGTTGATATAGGAATGGATTGTTTTAAACCAGGGGTTCTCAAACTTTTTGAAGCAAAAGTTTCTTGTGAGACCCCAATAAATGTTTATATGTTATCTTATAAATTGTATTATATATAATGTGTGTATGTGTGTGTGTATCAGGCATGGGCAAACTTTTGGGTGAATTGCATTTTAAAATTTGACAGAATAGCTGGGTCAGTGGCAGATGGATCGAGAGTGTTTGTGTGAACTACTTGGAAAAAAACATGAACAAGTTCCTATGCACACTGCACATGTCTCATTTGTAATGCAAAAAAGGAATGGAATAACAATATTTAATATGTTATTTAAATGTTTAAATTGAAAAACAATTTTAACCAGCATAAACTAACCAGGTTTTTAGTGGAAGACCCCAGGGGCCATCCAGTGCAACCCCCTTTATTCTGCCATGCAGGGAAAGCACAATCAAGACATCCCAAACAGAGGGCAACCCAACCTTTATAATAGGGTAACCCAGCCTTAATAATAACAACAACAACAACAACAACAGAGGAGGAGAGGGAGGAATGCATGGAGCCCCTCAGGATGCTTCATGAAGCCCCAAAGCCTCTGTGGAGCACACTTTGAGAACCCCTAAACCAGTGGTTCTCAACCTTCCTAATGCCGCGACCCCTTAATACAGTTCCTCATGTTGTGGTGACCCCCAACCATAACCCTAACATTATGAATCGCCGTGTAAATAATGATCTGCAAGATGTATTTTCATTCACTGGAGCAAATTTGGCACAAATACCCAGTATGCCCAAATTTGAATACTGGTGGGGTTGGTGGGGGGGTTGATTTCGCCATTTGGGAGTTGTAGTTGCTGGGATTTATAGTTAACCTGTAAACAAAGAGCATTCTGAACCCCACCAACAATGGAATTGAACCAAAGAACTCCCATGACCAACAGAAAATACTGGAAGAGTGTGGTGGGTTGAGTACCTTGAGTTTGGGAGTTGAAGTTCGCCTATATCCAGAGAGCACTCTAGACTCCCAACAATGATGGATCTGGACCAAACTTGGCACAAATACCCAATGTGTTCAAATGTGAACACTCATGGGGTTTTGGGAAAATAGACCTTGAGATTTGGGAGTTGTACTTGCTGGGATTTATAGTTCACCTACAATCAAGGAGCATTCTGAACCCCAACAACTTCCCACACAGAGACCCCCATGACCAACAGAAAATACTGTGTTTTCTGATGGTCTTTGGCGACCCCTCTGACACCCCTTCGCGACCCCTCCAGGGGTCCCGACCCCCAGGTTGAGAAACACTGCCCTAAACAATCAATAGTTAACCCACTTTTTCTCTTGGGGTGCCCAGAAGAATGGCCCCAAATGTCCACCTTAAACAATGATATGGCATAGATATACCCAATGCCATCAATGAATTGATCATGACCCTCCTCTTGCAACACGAAATGAATTCTGCCCAATATTTTGCAATAATTACACTCAAAACAAGGGACTTCTCCAACTCTGGATACAACCCTTGTGGATGCCCACCCCACATCTAGACCATGTCGCATGTCTTTTCTCACCACGGCATGGACCACGAATTCGAGGTGCCTCTTGGTCTCAAAATCCAATGTTCTGGCCAGGACAATCTTTCCACTGTTGGGCAGGTCGATCCGGAAGTACCTGGCATCTGCCTAGAAAGTTAAAACAGAAGAGGCAAAAGGATGCCAGGTAGAGATAATGCAATCCTGGAGAGAGGGGACTAAGGGGGTCTTGCGCTTGCGCTAATTCATGCTCAGTATTTTTAGTTTTTATGCCTTAAATACTTTCCCCTATTCTGCTAACGGTTCTATTGCTAGAGCAAAAATAAAATAAAAATAACTAAAAAATAGGACAAGAGAACAGAATCAGGATTCAAAATTAATATTCACAGATGAGAGATCTGAGCCAAAACTAAGCAAATGAATGTATTGTTGAAGGCTTGGCCAGAATCACTGGGTTTTTGTAGGTTTTTCGGGCTGTATGGCCATGTTCTAGAAGCATTTTCTCCTGACGTTTCGCCTGGATCTGTGGCAGGCATCCTCACAACCTGTTCAACAGAAGGAAACTTTTGGCGGAGAGTCCATTGGAGTCTCCTTCTCTGGAGGTTCTTAAGCAGAGGCAATATGGCCAGCTATGGGGAGGCTTGGGTTGTGTCTTGTGGCAGAATGGGGTTGGACTGGATGGCCCTTGAGGTCTCTTCCAACTCTGTGATTCTATGGATCTAATACTGCATACCGTGGGCCAACACTGCAGGGTAGGAATTTGTAGGATCCGTTGCTGCCCTTCCCTCTCACCGCATCACCTCTTGACCTGTAAATCTGGGCACATGTATTCCCATAATCCACACCCACGGCCATGTCTAGCTGTCCTTGCTCCAGGGGGTAATCTCCCACCCACATGCCTGGCCTGTTCAGGATGGTTCTGATTGGCTCACCCACCACCCGTTGCCATGGTGAAGTGCGCCGCGGGAGATCACCGGAACCGCAAACGGCAATGTACTGTTCACAGTTTCTCATTCGTAATATTAGTGAAGGCGTATTTCACAAAATGGCAACTCTCCTCTTTGGGAGATGTTGGGAATAGCATCAGAAAGGCACAATTTTAGATCCCAACTTGATTTTCTGATTGTGACCCACTTGGTGATCATAATTTCTTGGTCTGACCAAAAATGGAAAGAGCTACAGTAAGTCTAAATGGTGTAGATTTCAATCAATGCCTGTTGTATCTAGGAACCTAACAAGGATGCCCACTTTCTCTTATTTTTTATTTATTTATTTATTTATTTATTTATTTATTTATTTTTGCTCTAGCAATAGAACCATTAGCAGAAGTAAGAGGGGAAAGTATTTAAGGCATAAAAACTAAAAATACTGAGCATAAAGTAAATTTATTCGCAGATGATATTGTATTATTCTTAGCAAACCCAAAATAATGTTTAGAATTAACTACTATTAATTTTGCGGAAAGTTTCAAATATGTTCAAGATTCAAAATAAATTATGATATAGCAAAGATATTAATTATAAATATGTCCAAGGAAGATCAATGACATATAAAAAGGTGTCCACTTTAGGAATCTCTAGATCCTCCATCATGACTTTAGATCCCACCAGAACATTGCTCTAGGAATTGAATGGTCTAGTGCAGGCACTGGCAAACTTCAGCCCTCCAGGTGTTTGCAGGCCACAGAAGACTTTGCAGGCCACAGCAGGAACTCACCGATGTGCTATCAATGACGTACATGAGGGTATCCCCATCAGCATCCTCTGCCTGGGTGCTGAAGACCACTGAGTGAACAGCCGCCAGCTGGGAGCAAAGAAGGAGGGAGGGTTAGGTTAGGGAGCAAAGAGCAACCAGATTGTATTGATGCCTCTCCTATGAACCTGTGTAAAGATTAAGCATTCCAAATCTGAAATGTTTAGGACCAAAAGTGTTAGAGGGCTTGGATTTTTTTCAGAATTTGGAATTTCTGAATGTGTATCGAACACAGGCCAACTTGGCCTTCCCTCCAGGTGTTTTAGACTTCAACTCCCACAATTCTTAACAGCCTACCAGCTGTTAGGAATTATGGGAGTTGAAGTCCAAAACACCTGGAGGGAGGGCCAAAGTTTTCCCATGCACGCTTTATTTATTTATGACATTTATATCCTGTCTTTCTCACCCTGAGGGGGACTCAGGGTGGCTTACATAATTGGCATTACTCCATGCCCAAACAAAAACATTTCAAAGCAATTAAACAACAATTTAAAACAACATTAAACATCATATGTAAACATTAGATGACTATTGTACATAGATCCAAAGTCATATAATCAAATAAGCATATTCATCAATCCAAGGTCAATTCCATTGTCTTGCACATTTGTGGTTTTGACTATTGTGTAATTAATTACAATGTTCTTTCTAAGAATCTCCAGTATGATTCTACAGTCAAATGTGGAAAAATGGCTATACAGACATAAGGGGATATTTTGGAGATAAAACTTATTTATTATTTACTAGCGGTCCCCTGCCACGCGTTGCTGTGGCCCAGTCTGGTGATATGGAAAATAAAGTAATTAGAAAGTGCTGGCTTCTAATATATGTAATGTCTTTATGCTTGTGGGCAAACAGTATTTCTTGATGTATTTCTTGATGATTGTCTGGTTTGCCTACTCTGGAACATGCAACATATAATTGTCCATCTTTAGGAGTCCCTTTCAAATCTATAATACTTTATCTGTGTGTGTGAATCATATATATCTATCTATATCTATGGCTGGATGGCTCTCTGTCAGGAGGGCTTTGATTTTGTTTTCTTGCCCTGGTGAAGGGAGTTGGACTAGATGGCCTTAAGTATTTTCTGTTGGTCATGGGGGTTCTGTGTGAGAAGTTTGCCCCAGTTCTGTCATTCGTGGGGTTCATTCAGAATGGTCTTTGATTGTAGGTGAACTATAAATCCCAGTAACTACAACTCCCAATGCAAAGGTCTATTTCCCCCAAACTCCATCTGTGTTCATATTTGAGCATATAGAATATTTGTGCCAAGTTTGGTCCAGATCCATCATTGTTTGAGTCCACAGTGCTCTCTGGACGTAGGTGAACTACAACTCCCAAACTCAAGGTCAATGCCCACCAAACACTGCTAGTATTTTCTGTTGGTTATGGGAGGCCTGTGTGCCAAGTTTGGTTCAATTCCATCATTGGTGGAGTTCCAAATGCTCTTTGATTGTAGGTGAACTATAAATCCCAGCAACTCCAACTCCCAAATGACAAAATCATAATGTTTTGAGTGATGGTCACTCTTTGTGTAGTGAGACATTTTGTTGCCAAATTTGGTATGATTTCATTCATTGGTTCTTTTGTTTTTAAGGTACTCATTATGAACAGAGCATTTATATATATATATATATATATATATATATATATATATATATATATATAGATAATTTATTTTAAATATTTATATTCCGCTCTTCTCACCCCGCAGGGGATTCAGAGCGGAGCACAGCATAAATACAGCAAACATTCAATGCTGGGACATAAAGCCATAAATATATACAAACTTTAAAGTCACTTATATCCACATTAAAATCAGCTGCTTTAAAACTCTCTCAGGACACCATTTTGCCTCTACTGCAAAGCCTTGGTCCCACAGCCAGGTCTTCACCATCCTTCTGAAGGACAGGAGGGAGGGGGCTGATATAATGTTGCCAGGAAAGGAGTTCCCTAACCGGGGGACAATCACTCTGAAGACCCTGTCTCTCGTCCTCATCAAACACACCTGTGATGGTGGCGTGACAAGAGCAAGGCCTCCCCAGAATATCTTAGTTTCTACAGTGGTTTGTAAAGGGAGATTGGTTATTATTAACTTGGGTTAAAATTGTTATAATTATGCTATGTAACACCTTTTTTGTTCCTGGGTTATAAATGCCATTTTCTAATTGCTTCTATCATAAAAACATGCAAAAAAAACCGCTTTGTTTTCATGGGTGGAACATCCTGCAGCACATTTTGCTCTTGTTTTTCAATGAATATATCATTGAATCTCAACCAATTGAACCTAGTTTATGGCAGACACAAAAACAAAGTTTCTGGAGTATAACAACTACTTCCAAATTAAGGGCCACATGATTAACTCTCTCAGGACACCATTTTGCCTCTACTGCAAAGCCTTGGACCGCATCTCAGCCTATGAGCCCACGAGGGCCTTAAGATCGTCTGGGGAGGCCCTTCTCTCGATCCCACCTGCCTCACAGGCACGTCTGGCGGGGACGAGAGAAAGGGCCTTCTCGGTGGTGGCCCCCCGGCTGTGGAACACTCTCCCGGTTGACATCAGACAGGCGCCCTCCCTTTTGGCTTTCCGTAAGAGCCTCAAGACCTGGCTGTTTGGAAAGGCATTTAATTGAGTGCTATATAAACGGGCAATGACAAGTGGAACGGAATACGGTCTATGAGTTGGGTTATGATTCTATGTGTGACGATGCGGATTACTTTAGTGTAAATTAGTTTAGTGTGTATTAGTGAATTGCTGATTTTGCTGTGTTTTATTGTAGACTGTTTTATATGTTGTACACCGCCGCGAGTCGCCCTAGGGCTGAGAGCGGCGGTTAACAAATGCAATAAATAATAAATAAATAATAATAATTAAACAGGAACTAATACTTTCAAACCAGGAATAGAAGATTTTTCAAATGTTGTTAGATAGTGTTATTATTATTACTATTATTATCACAACAGAGCGACAAGAGTGAAAAAGAGTTCAAATAATTAAATATAAAAGTTATAAGATAAAAGCATTTGCAGATGATGTAGCGATAGTTTTAGACGATCCCTTGTATACAGGTAGAAGTTTGAACTCAATTTTGAAAGAACATGTCAGGATTTAAAATCAATAAGGAGAAAAGAACCGTTTTGGCTAAGAATTTGACTATAAAGGAACCAAAAAACTTTAAATGAGAAACATGGCTTCCAGGTTGCCAAAAGGTCAAATATTTGGGAGTTAATATCTGGAGAAAAATTGAACTTATTTAATGACAATTATGATAACAAGAGGCTAAATAAGGTGAAAGGGTTTCAACTGTCAGGTGTAGAATTTCAGCTGCAAAGGTGAATATATTACTGAAGATGTTGTTCTTGTTCCAAACATTATAATCAATCGTATTCCATTTAAATAATGGAAGAAAGAGTTGTCAGCCTCCATTTGGCAACGAAAGAGATCCAGAGTAAGAGTTAAAATATTACAAAATGATGAGGGCCTTAACTCTCCACTTGAGAGAAAATAATGGAGAGCATTATTTTTATTTGCACCCCACGCCAAGCCATTGTTGTTGTTGGTATTACTATTATTTGAAACACAACAAGATGAGTCCACAGCAGACACTCTACTGGCTGTTGAATAGGATCACACGTTGGACACTTCCCAAGTTGTTGTTGTTGTTGTTGTTGTTATTATTATTATATCAACAGAGGAAGAGAAGAAGAGTGGCAAATGTAGTAGTAGTTGTTGTTGTGGACAAGGAGAGCAGGGTCTTGCTTTCTCAGACAAAAGCAAAGAGCTACATCCTTTCCTAGCTTGCCTCCTTTTCCCCATCTTGGCCAAACTCTATTGACACTTGGCTGAACATACCCTGGTTTTCATCTCTTGCTGGTTATGGACTCACCTCACTGATGTTCTGGGTCATAATGCTGTCTTCATGAAAGCGTGGTTTGTTGTCATTCTCATTCATCACTTGGACTATGATCCTGTATTCGACCTGAGAGCAGAAAAGAGCAAGTGTCAATGCGGTTGCCTGAATTTGACCTATTTCGCTAGGAATAATGGGAACTGAGAAACCTGTACTGTAGGAGAGCAATGCTTGTTTCCTACTGCTCCGGAGACTAAGACAAGGAGCAAGAGACTTAAACTTCAAGAAAAGACTTTCCTACAAAACATTAAGAATAACTTTCTGTTTGACTGTGGAATAAGCTGGTTCCTGGGAGTCCAGTGGAGTTTCCTTCTCTGGAGGTTTTAAAGCAAAGGTTGGATGGCCATCGGTCGAGAGGGCTTGGATGGTGTCTTCCTGACTATCAGAAAGGGGTCTGACTGCATGGCTCTTTGGGTCTCTCCCAACTCTAGAATTCTATGATTTCATATCACAGAACAAAACAAAAATTGGAGCACGATTGGAATTAGACATTTTCAAATAAATCATGATTTTGTACCGGTGAGAAACCATCTTCCGTACAAGTGAAGGACACCATCAAAACGGGGGTTTCCAGCACCTGAAACACAAAACAAAGAGACAGGTGGAACAAGGGTGTACCTGAAGGCACTCAAACTTTGGAGTTCTAGGAATTTGGAGGCATTGGACATAACTGAAATATCTGCCTTTAATGTATTTTGCAAGTGAAACATAAAGCTAGGATGAACCCTGGAACTGAGAAGGAAGACAACTGGATTCCAGAGAAGAACTTTATCTGAAGGATCCATCAGATCCCAGCACTGGTTTCAGTCCAAACTACTCACAGCATAAAGTTTATTCCAGACATCAGTATTTCATTAAAAAAATGAGAGTTATGGAGACAGGTGACACATGAGCAACGTCTACTGCATACAGGGCCATCCAGATCTGAGGTCTATATAACCAGAATAGAATGGATCCAGAGCTTGTTTGTTGTTTAGAAGGATATTCTCAGGATCCAATACTGTATGTAGCCATAACTTCTGGTTCCATAATATGGCATTTCTAGCTTTTGCAGTATTGCAAAAATGAGAGACCGTGGCAAAATAATACAGGGCATGGGTGAGCTCTTAGCTAGTACCAAACAGAAGTTGTTTAGGCCAATTGCAACAGACCATAGCCATTTGGATTAGTAACCACTTATGACCTTTTTACCAGTGACAAATTGATCTGATCCCCTTTGAACAGTGTTTAAAAGTTCATCCACATCAGTGGTTCCCAATCTGTGGAAGTGGGCCACCAGTGGTCTACAAGAACTAAAATATGGTCCATGGCCTCACTGTTACTACATCACTGCAATGAGTGACTAGTCTCGTGAAACCTTCTTATAGTGCCAAGTAGAGTTGGATAGATTCGTTCAAAAGAGCATGGAAGTCATAAAAAGCTTCTGAATTTTGACTTCCGAAGCAGTTTTGAACCATGCAGGAAAGGTTGCGGGGAGGCGGGGGGCGGAATCCGAATTTGAGCTACTTAGTTTTTTCCCTTCTTCTTCTTCTTCTTCTTCTTCTTCTTCTTCTTTTTCTTCTTCTTCTTTTTGGAAATATTCCATAATGTTTGAATGTCTCCCAAGGTTATTTTAATTTTCACAACCATTAAGCAACTTTGGTAAAGCCTAAAAGTTTTTAAATCTCATGCTTTCCCTCCCCCGGCGATGCAAGGGAGGGATGAGGTGGCCGTGGCTAAGCACAGCCATTGTTGTAGTTTGTGAAGGCCAGGCCTCCAATGGTAGAGACTGCAAAAGGCCCTGCTGTTAAACTACATTTCCCATACTGCCCCGCTGCTCATTAGCCAAAGTGGCTGAAGGACCCAAAAATACTATAGGTGTCTGTAGCAGTCTTCGTCTAAATATAAAATAAACTGATTGAAACTATAAAGGTGTCTAAAAAAAGGGAGGGAGAATCCCTTGAAGTTTCCCCAGTGCCAGTGCTGTTTTTTTCCTACTGCGCTTGCGTGTCTGCCATTAATGAAACAATTCGGAAGTTTCGGAAAGTTTTGAATTTTAAAAAATCGGAAGTGATTTTAGAATCAAAACACCAGAATCCTCTACATCCAAAATGAGTTTTTTTGGATCAACCAAGCCTAGAGCCAAGGCTTAAATATGGTTTTCTGTGGGCAAGCAGGTGACGACTACTGGATGGCATATGCTCTGTATTGGAAACTAGAGCTGATGTGGTCTATCCAATGCAATCTTCTGAATCAGCACCCAAAATAACCAAACCAATTCATAACCCTTTTGGTACTAATGTTGGAGAGTGGTCCCTGGTCAAAAAAAGGTTGGGAACCACTGATCTACACTGCAGAGCAGGATCTACACTCCAGGTGTTTTGGACTTGAACTCTCACGATTCCTAACAGCTAGAGGGAGGAAATGGAGGGAGGGCTCAAGTTTGCCGATGCCTTGTGTAGAATCAGCTCAAGTTGGCATCGATCATAACCTTGTCATTTGAACAGTCAGGCCAAATACCATCTGAGGGGCAACCCACCTCTTTGTCCAGCACCTTCTCCTCTGAGGCGTTCAACCGCACCGTCTTCCCATCCAGGTAGAACCAGCTGGCATCCATACCACTCAAGGTGAGCTGCACAGTGTTGCTCTCCGGGTCACCAAACACCAACAAGTGGGAGACCAAAGTGCCGTGTGGACTGTTCTCTGGGATTTCGGTGAAGATGTTGCTACCCCCGCTGCACTGGTCAGCTACCACTGCAGGGACCATGGAGCAAAGACAGAAAGACTAGCTGTTATTGTATGATCCTAGTGTTGGAAGGGGTCCCTAAAGGCCATCTGTAGTGAATTCCCTACCAGTTAGACTGAGAGAGGCCTTGGAAAATAGTAGACCCAAGGAGTTCGGCAGCCATCTTAGGAAAGGGTGCTGGGGGAATCCATTTTATTTATTTATTTATTTATTTATTTATTTGACTTGTATACTGCTACTCCCAATTTGGCTCGGAGCGGTTTACAGCAGTAGATTAAAACAATACAATTAACTTTAAAATACAATAAAAACAAGAACAGACATAGTCCCAAGTTATTTAGATTGGCCAGAGCTGACTAGCAGGGACAGCTAGTGAGGAGTTTACAGCTATTAGGAGGATAGCTGGGAAGTAGTGAGATAGATCCAGGTTAGGACTATCTGTGCTGCTTTAAGAATTACTGTCAGAGAAACTATCCTGTCAGTGTTCTTGTTTGGGGGGAGAAAGAAGAGTTTCTTGAGTAACAAAGTCAGAACTAGTTTATGGAACCACACGTTTCTAGACAAATCTCTGCAACAGCCAAGCTTAGTACCTGCATTGTTCCTGTTCTTGTAAATAAACTTCATTGTTTATTGTTCATCACACCTGACTCAAGTGTGCCTCTGTACTTAAAGGTTTAAAAGCAGCTTTAAACAGAAACCAAAAACTTCATGGTGGCAGCGTATGTTTTAAAGAAATAACTTTAAAGGGTATCGCAGTAACACAAGCCTGAGGGCTAACACCATCACACTCTTTCATAAGTTACCTCAAATAAGCCAAGGGCTTATTAGCACTGCTAAGTGGGTGGGAGCCAGTGTGTTTTCAAAAGGGGGTTTTCGGCAAGAAATAAAGTTTCCAGTTTTCTATCTTCAGCCTTTTGGGTTTTGGGGCTTGTAAACGCAGAAGCCTCATTCCAGTACAAGTGGTGTTCAGTTTTTGGGATTTTTTAATATCAGATAAATCCCTGTCCTTTTACACCATCCAGTCCAATCCCTTCTGGGCATGTTTAGCCTGAAGAAGAGAAGGCTGAGAGGAGATATGATAGCCTCTTCCAACTCTTTGATTCAATGATTCTACCAGACTGGCACAATCAAAGCTGTCAGGGGTTCCCCAAAAAAGGGCACTTAGGCTCATACCAACCCTTGGATTCCGCATCCTCCAAATCTTGAATTTTGATCTGAGGCATGCACTTTTTAAAACTGCTGCGCTTATCTGCTTTTCCTGCCTCAGTGCTTCGGTTCATGAAAACCACTCTAGGGCTGCTGTTCTCTGCCAAGATGCCCTCGCGGCAAAGGTTTATTATTGTTCCAAGCTATTTACAGTTACTTACAGAGAGGCGATAATAAATAATAATCATAAACTTTATTTTTAACCCACCCTCTCTCCCTGAGGGGACTCACAGCGGAAGAGAGAGACCAAGCACATGGTCTCCACTTTCCATAGCCAACACTCCTTTCCTTATCTTTTGGTGACATTTCACTTTCCTGCTGACCGGATAGGTCATTCTGGGTCCGGCACCTCCATGCTCTGAGTAATTTTAGCCACCACCACACACCCCCCCCCCCCCCCCCCCCCCCCCCCCATCCCCAGTAAGCCAGACTGTTTGTCATATGCCTTTGGAATAATTTTCCTGGCCTATGACTCCACCAATCATTAACAAAATCCCTCCCAACAGATGGTCATCCAGCTTCTGTTAAAAGACCACAATCAAACTCCCAGACAACAGCATATCCCATTTTGCAATAGCTTTGATTGTCAGGAAGTTCTTCTCAATGTTTTGGTGGAATCTCTTTTCCTGGAATTTGAACCCATGGCTCCATTGTGTCTTACACACAATGCTTGCCCCCTAAACAAGCTTGCCTCCTAAACTCTATGGATAGAACCTACTATATGTTTAAGACAATAAGGCATTTAAGGCAACCATAGGTGCCTCTAAATGGTGGAATTCGTGCAGTTCACCACCACTTCAACTGCCATAGCTCAATTCTATGGAAGCATGGGAGTTATAGTTTTGCAAGGTCTTTAACCTTCTCTGCCAAAGGGTGTAGGTGCTTCACCAAACTATAACTCTCAGGAATCCATAGCATTAAGTCTTGGCACTTAAAGTAGTGTCAAACTGCATTGATTCTACAGTTTTGTGCACCCCATGTAACAAAAAATTAGCCCATCTCTGCATTCATTTTTAGCAACAATGACAAAATCTGCTATAATATTCATTGAGAAACAAACTATGACCAAGTTTACATATTGCAGTGCTTTGTTAATCCAATTGCATGCCTTGAACCAAAATCTAATCCAAAATCTTCCGAAACGTGCCATTGAGACAAAAAGCAGACAGGATTTTGAATGACCATTTGTAATCCCCTCATCAGTCAAAATAGCTATTTAAAGATCAATATGCATTATCTTAATGAAGGCAATTGATATACATACAACAATTGTGTTTACCTCTATGGTTTAGGAAAGAATTTCAATTGAGATAGTATACACTTAGAAAATGCATTGTGTTCAATCACTTAATACTGAGGACATGATATTGCTATTGTGTAAAAGGTGTTAATTTTCTAAATTTATGAGCATCGCAGTGAATATTTACTCTATAGATTCTTAAAATTAAAACTATAGAATGGCATGAATTTGAGAAAGACCATTAACACAGAGAGACACAAATACCAAATGTCACAAGAAATTCAATGTGCAGATTTGATAAATGTGAATTTAATATATGTGTGGGGATGAATGGAAGAATGGAAGGATGTGTGTTTGGAGTTAATATTTTTGGAAACACCAGTATAATGCTAAGGTCTGCAATGACTAACTACCTGCTTGCTGGAACTTGTTGGGGTTCAGCCTGAGATTGAACCTGATTCTCTGTTTGTACCTCCTGATGCTAATGAAAATATATTTACTGATGCTAATGGAAATGTACTTCCTGATGCTAATGAAAATGTACTTCTTGATGTCAATGATCCTGAAATTAGTGACAATGCTCCTGAAATTAGTGAGGAAGAAACTTCTGTAGATTTGGAAAATGAAAGTACCAGTGTTCATGAGAATGTTTCAGAGGGAAGCCATGACCTTTCACTCCCTTCTGCACCTGGGAACCTTAATGAGAATAGAAGGGGCCAGATCTGGCAAGACAGGAGTAAATCACTCAGCTTGCGAAGGTCTTCCAGATTAAAAGAAAAACAAACAAGGGCTTCAAAGCAGGGAGGCGTATCACGAAACCAATTCCTCGGCTTTAAGTGCCTTCCGCCGGGCTGACTTTCTCAGTTCAGGCATTGTTTTAGATTGATGAAGACCTTGGCAGTTCTCCCGGTTCCTCTGGCCATCGTCTTGAAAGATTTCTAGGACACCAAGTACGGTTAGTGGATTGCTAATCATAGAATCATAGAATCAAAGAGTTGGAAGAGACCTCATGGGCCATCCAGTCGAACCCCCTGCCAAGAAGCAGGAATATTGCATTCAAATCACCCCTGACAGATGGCCATCCAGCCTCTGTTTAAAAGCTTCCAAAGAAGGAGCCTCCACCACACTCTGGGGCAGAGAGTTCCACTGCTGAATGGCTCTCACAGGCAGGAAGTTCTTCCTCATGTTCAGATGGAATCTCCTTTCTGTAGTTGATGCCATGTTCCAGTATTTTACAGTGTGGCTTTGGGTTTTTGATCTTGTTCATGGATATTCATGTTTGCTGATTTTGCTGTGGCTTTTGACTTTGCATTTTTCCTTTATTTTGTAACATTTTTCTTCAATAAAAAAGGATTGTTTTTCACAGTCAAGTGTGGTGGATAGTTATCTTAGGGCCTCGTTTCCTGCTCTGGGTTGCAACAGAACTGTGATCAAAACCTGCTAATGAGAATTGATAAGAACTGTGACAATGGTTCTTAAGGAAATGTTTGCAACCTCCTTATGTTAAGAAGGAAGTCAACATAAGATCAACACAATCAAGAAGATCAACATCTGGCCAGGAAACTGAGATGGAGCCAGGATGGAAGACGTCTATCATTACTTTACAACTTTGGGACGACATCAGCAGAATATTCCTATAAAAGACTCAGTCTAATAATGCTCAAAGTGTGGCAGACCTGAGGAGTCTGTTCCACCCGCTATGCTCTGCTCCATGGGAAGGAGAGAGATAGTGTACCTATGGAGAGTGGCAGATTTGCACAGGAGCAGTCTGGTCACTTTGGGGCTTCTTTCTCAAGGGAAGAGGAAGAAGTGCACTTTTGGAGTCTTAGATTTTGTGCAGGGAGTCAGGTTCTGCTGTATGGAAAACAGAGATCTGGTCCTTGGCATTGTTCTTAGGGAAAGAAGTTTTGGTATCTCAGCATTTTGAAGTTGTGGCATTATGGAGCTATGTATTGGCAGGCTGCAGGAAAGCAGTGTCTGGCCGAAGAGGTGCTTCTCCAAGGAGGGAGAAAATGATATGATAATATTAGAATGCCTGAGGATGAATGCGTGTACATGTGGTGTGAATGTTGACTGAAAATGTAATTCCTTGTCGAAGGCTTTCGTGGCTGGAATCACTAGGTTCTTGTGGGTTTTTTCGGGCTATAGGCCATGTTCTAGAGGCATTTCTCCTGACGTTTCGCCTGCATCTATGGCAAGCATCCTCAGAGGTAGGGAGGTCTGTTGGAATTAGGACAATGGGTTTATATTAGGGCTGGGCGGTTTCGTTTCGTTAATTCGTAATTCGTTAATAATTCGTTAATTTTTTCAATTACAAAACGATAACGAACCATTCTGGAGCAATTATTTAAAAAAATGAATTTTCAAAAACGTTTTGTAAATGCTTCGTATTTCGATATTGTATTCGTTTCGTTATTGTTTTGAGGTCGTTTCGTTATTATTTCCGCATGTCTGGGCCAGTTTTATGGTTTAATTAGTGAAAAAAATTATAATATCACACCAACAGTCAACAACAGAGGGAGAGGGAAGCTTCAGAAGGTTTTGGAGGTTTTTTAGCGTATT